GATTATTTTTGAGATTAATCAATTATCATTTGTATGTTTGTAATTGTCAGCACCAAACCTAGAGGCTGAAAATAGCATTTCTGATGAAATTGTATTCTTCATCTATTAATTGATGGGGATTATTTTCTTTGTTTATACCACCAAACGTTGAAGCTCTATTGTTTATTACTAACTGATTAATTTTTTTCTCTACCTTTTCACCAGTCTAAGTCCTCCCAGTGTTCCAGATGCAAGTCTCTTTGGAGAGGTTATTGGAGATGCTTTTGCATTGGCCATGGTTGGATATGCCATATCTATTTCACTTGGCAAAACATTTGCACTGAAACATGGATACAAGGTTGATAGCAACCAGGTAAATAATGTCTTTAATAAACTTGATTTCTGCAGATACCTTTAGTGTACAATCATTTTCTCACACCTTATTTCTCTTCTCATTCAAATGTTTCTTTCTCCACCCTGCTTCAGGAGCTGGTGGCGCTGGGTCTCAGTAATGCGGTGGGAGGATTCTTCCAGTGCTTCTCCGTCTGCTCCTCTATGTCTCGAAGTCTGATTCAAGAAACCACCGGAGGGAAAACTCAAGTGAGTGAGCAGCAGAAGTAACAAGATTATATCAGCTTGACCTCACAAGTACTGTGAACATGCAACATGCAGTAGTTATACTCTATTATGACCCATTTAAGGATGATTGAGTATGAGTAAAAAGCAAATAATGTTTAATTAAATAAAACCACATTGTGTTCGTAGGAAAATCGAAAACTGACCGTACTCCACTTTTTTATTGGCTTTCAAAATACAGCAACATTGTTATTTTTGTTACCATTACTGATCTGAACACAAATAGTTCAAAACAACCAGAAACTTCATGTTTTTATTGCAGATGGCCGCCGTTGCCTCGTCTCTAATTGTGTTGGTGACTATACTGAAACTTGGACCCTTGTTCCAGGAGCTGCCAAAGGTTCTGTTACTCTAACACTCCTCTTCACTACAAAGTAGACTTAAAGTTCATATCTATAATGCATGAGATGTTATTGTAATGGATTGTTCTTATTAATCATGTTGGTTGTGCTTGTTTCAGGCTGTCCTTGCAGCGATTGTCTTTGTAAACCTAAAGGGCATGTTCAAGCAGCACTCGGACATTGTTACACTGTGGAAACGCAGCAAGATCGATCTGGTGAGAGGTTAAATTATTATTCATTTGAACAATACCCCTACAAGAAACAACTGCAACATAATCAAGTGTGGTGTTGAATCTAGAAACAGCCATTGTTCTTGTTTCCTTTTCATTATCATGCTGCACCCCCCCAGATGGTGTGGTTGGTCACTTGGGTGTCAACACTGCTGCTTAATCTGGATCTGGGTCTGGCAGCATCCATCCTCTTTGCCCTGCTGACTGTCATTTTCAGAACTCAGATGTAAGACTTCTCTGAACTTTATCATATTATTTCTCCCTTCAGTATCAGTATCATAAGCCAATTGTGTTAGAATGCACATTTAGCCAGATTGCAAAAGAAATACTGTATAGAAACATAATATTTTGTGGTCTTTTATTCCTTTAAGGCCAACATACTCTGTTCTGGGAAACGTTCCAGGTACAGAACTGTATGTGGATATGGAGACCCACAGAGAGGTGAAACAAGAGGACTAACTGTAAATAAGATCTTTCCCACACTCACAAGAAAGAACGCGAATAACCTTTTGCTTTTTTACAGGCGAGAGATGTTCCTGGTGTTACTATATTTCGCTCCTCTGCTACAGTTTATTTTGCCAATGCTGATCTGTACATCGAGGCTCTGAAAGAAAAGGTTTGTTCTCTTTCATAGTGAAAAACAAAGTAAAATAATCAGTCCAGTCTCTACATACTGGCCACAGAGGATGTTGCCAAAGAATCAGTCCAATATGCCACCTTCAAATGCTTTGCTTTATATAAACACTACAAAACTGATTTTGACAATTTTAGCCAAGTCTGAAGGTCTCTTAAAAAAAAGTGTATAATTTGGTGTTCGGGTCTGGGAAGACCCAGCAGAATTGTTTTGGGTGACTCTGGGTCAAATTTGGCCTAATCAAGATTCATCTTTGACTTTAGACAAAGCATAAATATCTTGTTTTTGTTCCTTAATATTTTTAAAAGATGCAGATTATGTATTATTTTTCTTGTTGATCTTTTTTCAGAGTGGGCTTGACATCAGTAAAATGATTATCTATAAGAAGAGGCAGGAGGCCAAACAGAGACGTAGAGAAAGGAGGGCTGAGAGGCGGGCAAAAAGGCAAGCCAAAAAAGAGGTGTGTACGCTTGAGATGTATAATACAACTGCAAAAATAATACTTTAAAAAATAGTAAAGATTTTAACGAACTGTGAAAAAGATTTGCACCCAAATCCTGTGAATTAAAAAAAGTAGGGCTGCAAATGGTGATCAAATTATTTATTAATGATGTCAATTAATTGCTTTATCTATGAAATGTAAAAATGGCTGGTCGATAATTGTTTAGATTAGTAAATTACTCGACTAATCAACTAACTCATAATTAAAGTAAATGGCTAAACTTGTAACACTGGACAAAACTACAGGTGACCAATGACCAAGCTACCAAAAAAGTCTGCTTTGTTAAAAGGAGTTTGACTGATTTGTTCTCGTACCCCTCTTCAGAGACGGGTAGCACAGAGGGCAGCTAAACATCTATCTGGAGCGCCGGTGTTCTCTGTGGAGGAAGAGGCCGGCAGCTGGAGAAACACCTGTGTGGACGGGGATGTTACGGACAGAGAGCAGCAGGGCTGCACTGAGAGGGAGAACGGGACAGTGTTCATCATCCCAACTACTCCTCGAACCCCCGACAGATGGGAGTACCTGAAGGGAGGAGAACCAGACTGCACCAGCTTAGGGTCCATCTCCGAGCTGCAGGAGGGGGACACCACCACCCTGGACTCCAGCAGCGATGACACGCTCAGCCGCGATCTGGACTCCAGCAGCGATGACACGCTCAGCCGCGATCTGGAGCGCATCTCTCTTGGGTCACTGGGCAAGTGGAGCTGGGATATTCACTCGATCATTATCGACCTCTCCACAGCTAACTTCATTGACATAGTGGCAATCAAGACTATCAGAAATGTAAGTACTAAAGTGAGAAATATTTCATTTAAGGACAAATGCCTTTAAAGTTGTCATTCGAAAATGTCCTCATTACAATATCTTTAAATTACTCAACCTATGTTATATTTTGTTGAGTTTTTTACTTGCAGATCTGAAAACACCTGGACCTGACATATAATTATATTGCTAAGGATAAAAAAAAAAAAAAACATTTTATTTTGCTATCCTTTTGAAGGGAATGACAAATCTTCAACACAAACAAAACTGATTTTGATTTAACTTTGTCTTGGTGTTGATGTCACTGAAATAGGAGTTTATTATATACATAATGTATAGTACTCTTTAACTGTTACATAAACTCTGATGATTAAAGGTAGGGTAGGTAAGATTGAGAAACCGGCTCGAGATCGCTAGAATTTGAAAATACACAACCGGAGAAAATCTGCCACTTCCTTATAGAGCCCCTCCTCACGAGATAAGTTTGTGCACAGATGGAAGGCTGACAGGCAGGTAGGCCATCCAGTTATTTTAGCCGGGCCGGCTAAAATGATTGGTCGTACTTTTTACAGTATTACGGCTTCCACAGATGACATTTTTTTTATGGATTTTTTGTCAAAGCACTTAAGATATTCATTGCTATTGTTAAGAGCATTCCATGGAATATAACAAAAAGTGTATCTCGAGCCGGTTTCTCAAACGTACCTACCCTACCTTTAACTGTGAGATAATTAATAAGGGTGATTAGTTGCAACTGATGGGGAACAAACAGCATACATATTCTGAATTTTCCTTTTTGCAGATTATCCATGACTTCAGTGAGATTGATGTAGATATCTACATTGCTGGTTGTCAAGGTAAGTTAACCCACTTTTCCTGAAGCCTGCACTGCATGAAAAGTCTCCACTGTGGTAGTAAATTGTATGTAAAATGTTTTTTCCTCAGCCCCTGTAGTGGAACAATTAGAGCTTGGTGACTTCTTCTCTGAGACGATTACAAAGAGAAGTCTTTTTGTCTCTGTTCATGATGCTGTGCTCTACTGTCTGAACCACCGCGGAGCCACATCTATCCCCAGATACGAGCCATCAGTGGTGAGTATGTGCAGCTGATGTCCAGGTGGACGTGCGAGGTTGATACTTAACATTTTGATTAAACTAAACTGCTTTCTGATTGATTTCAGGATACATACGACGGCACAAAACTTTAAGGGATTTTAACCAAAGAGGACATCCAGCGCTGAAGATGGAAAAAATGTCTCAACATGGGGGGGCAGTCAAAATCTTTTATGGAATTGTATTTATAAAGTAATGATGGACAATTGTTGTGTTATATTTATACATCTTATCTTTCAAGTAGGAAAACTGATGACACATGATCTTTTATTGAGTTTTTATTCAATGTGGAAGAGAGATAGAGTGCATTGTAGAGAAAAAATAAATAGAATCCATGAAACACCCAAACGATACCTTTGAAGAAGAATTTGGTAGAAAATAACGAGGAATCCAAAGAACAAACACTAGACAACATGCATCACGGTGACAGTGTGTCAGCCTTTTTTGGTAATGGCAGCAATAACAACGTAGGACATTGAAATGTTTACAGTAGCCATTTCAATTTTCAAGTGCAATTTCTGCTCATAGCAACAGATAAATCTGTGGAGCTAATGCATGCAAAGGGAATTTTTTTTGTCCTAACTCTTTTAAAGAGTTTCTAATACAACATTCCTAAAATGGTAAATTATGAGGGATTAAAAAATAACAGGATAACAATATCCGAGCAATACTTAACAAAAGCATCTCTTTACAGTTGCATAAACCCACTGTGACCTCATTCCCTGAATAAAACTTGTCTCTACATACTGGCCACAGAGGATGTTGCCAAGACTTTGTGCACATGACTGAGGAAGGCTAGGTAGGTTTTCTTTTTCATTTTGGTTTATGAGCTACAAGTCTTGATGGATATCAGAACTCTGCGTGTCCTGGTTTAGAGTCAGATCTTCATCATCATCGTCTTCTGGCTGCTGTGAAACCAGCTGCTGGTAGCGAGCCTGTCGCTGGTAATCCGGGTCGATGTTGATCCATTTATTTGCAACCCACTTAGTGCCCTGGGTGACCATGCACCCTCCATGCAGAGCGTATTCATCCTGCTCTCCTACCCAACCTTTTGAGAGAGAAAAAATTATAATTGAACTCAACAAGCCATTCAGATTTCGCTCCGCTCCCTCTGCAGGCTTGTTAGAATATATCGACCTACATCACATTTCTCTACCCACAAGTTATGAACCTGAAAATGAGCATGATATATCCTTTAATGTTGATGAGCAACTTCCTTTTTATCATGTCTGTTTTTTTAGGGCTCACGCTGATGTTCTGGTTACCAAACAAAATCGCTTGGTCATGATAGGTTGACAAAGATAATGACGTTTTTTTCTTGTAGCTAACACCTGAGTTTATATATTAGTTTTACTAGAAATCAACCATAGTGCACTCAGACTTTGCTGTATTCTTACAGTTTGTAGCTGTCTTTCTAGATAACCTTTAATCTTTACAACACCATTTTTCAATCTGAACACTTTGACTCCAGTTAATATGTTTACTTATTTTGTGCCACCAAATTGTGATACTTACATGTGAATTGCCAAGATGTATGAAATTAAAATACAATTTTAGGATGTACTGTATGCTAACAGGCAGCCTATGGGGATGGCAATGCTGGCCAATCGTTTTGACTAAATATCTCTGCAACTATTGGATTGAGTGTGACAAAACTTTGATGACCCTCAGGCCTTTTTATCTGGTGTAATGATTAGGTCAGAGTTTTCAATTAGTCAGTGACATTTGTATACAGAAATTCATGTTTTCTGGACAGTGTATCCTAATGAATTTGGTGATCCTCTGACTTGTAATATAGTGCTACAATTAGGCTAATGTGTCAAATTCAAATGACTGAATCAGCTGTATTGTGTGTTTAGTGCTAAATGGCTAATTCTAACATGTTTGCATTGTCCTGATGAACATTAGCATAGAGACATTAGCATTTACCTAGCATTTAACATTTGAAGAGCTGTGATCTGAGCTGAGGACTGAAAGTCTTATTTACTTTTCAATAATATTGTGTAAGGTTTTGAAAACTATTTATCAACAGACTTTACCTTTTGATATTTGCGCTGGCATGTGTATACTGGAAAATTGTTAATTTAAAATAAAATTCTAAATGTGCTCTTAAATTGATTGAAATGAGTGTTTGCTGATTAGCATCTTTATTGCCACATAATGTTAAAAAGTGTGATTTTTAATGGGAATCCTACCTTTTCCATCCGAAAGATAGTTGTACCAGAAAACAGCTGTCCCTTTGGAAGGTTTCACCCTCAGGTTACTCTTGTCACAATTCCTTCTGGTGTCCAAAAGGTCCACATCATTCTGTATGAGGGACTAAAACACACACTAAACTCAGTGACACAGTTTTCTGAACGTCCAAGCCTTGCACTCACTGCCAAACATGTGAGTTAACACAGATATGAAAGACATGCACAGTATGTACACAATACTTTTCCAAGGCTCTCCCTACGCATTTCAAGGCCCACACACAATTACCCACCACTTCATCATAGGTCCTGTTGTCTGCCACAGGGAATGCGGTCTCCCCGCCCCCCTCAACAGAGTTCAGGTAGAAGAGAACTGTGATGTACCTAGGTGTGCAACACAGATTTAAATTGACACACACATATTTGGTGCAAACAAACAAACACATACTGTACAAATACTTTTTAAACAGTAGACAAGCACACACATTTTTCCCAATTTAAATCCCACAAACTACCATGCAGGCTTTCAACATGGAGTTTAGTAATCACACTGCACAGATGAATTCAGATCTGGTTGGTCTACACACTGTTGTCTCACCTGCAAGACGTCTCGAAAGGAGTGGAGGTGTTGGCCGCGAGACGTGTGTGTGTGCAGGCAGTTTCAGGATACACAGGGCCGCTGTCATGGTGGGCATGGTAGTGTCCTCCCTGCTCATACCGAACCACCTGTAGCGGCTCACTGAGGTCCACTAATGAGGGAGGGAGCCGAGTGAGGCGAGTCACCCTGTGAAAGGTGAAGAAAAAATATGTTAAAATTATTATTTGTGATAACCCAGTTATTACAGGAATAGACTTGCTTACTTCGTCTTGATGTCTTGGAGGACCTGGTGTGCTCCTTTGCCCTGATACAGCCACGTGTGTCTGCTGTTCCTCACCATCTGACTCCTCTTCACCCCTCGCTGCAGCAGGAAGCGCTGGAAGGCATCGTTGCTCAGAAGCCTGAACTCTTCTAGACTCAGCAAACCTGTCCAGGATATGTGAATGCACATATCAACCTAATGCCTTGGGTACGTTTTAATTTCATGCATCATTGACACTTAGCGTTGAAAATCCTGGGAATATTCAAAGTGGAAACTTAAATTTGTATTAACTGGAATAAATGGAAATATATAGGGTTATTTGCTGAGGCTGTTTCTGTTAGGTCAAATGCAGATAAAACAAACCTTTAATCAAATCATTAGTATAAATAATAATCCTTATAATAGAAATTAAAACAATAATATTGTTGAATTCTATTTAAATAAGTTGACTAATTTAACATTGAGGTAAAAAAAAAATCAAAAACTATGCAAATAGATCTATTTCTGTAAAACAAGTGCAGTTTCTTTGCCCAATTTTTACCATCGCCATCCTTGTCAGCTTTGAGACCAGTATAGATTTCTCGCAGATTCTCCGGTGTGAGCCAGATGCCGTCCCTTACTCGAGAATGAGTCAGTATCTGTTGGAGGCACGATAGTAAAGACAGGATGAGTTAACTCTGAACCAAAAACTAGTGCATGTCATATATTAATAAAGAACATGCCCACGATCCACAAACAGACATTCACCTCATGAAGCTGCAACTGTCCATCTTGGTTGATATCAAGAAGGTTGAAGATCTCGTCTGGACTCAGGTTGAGCTCCTTAGCCAGCTCTTCCTGACCCTCCTGCACCATCAGTTGGCTCTCCATTAGACCCTTTAGCTGTGCAAGCTGCATCACAACACGGCACTCATCATCCGACAAAAACCCAGGGATCTCTGCAGACAAACACAGAGACAAATAAAGTTACACACAGAGTAACTACTCTTGGGTTAAAAGAAGATAAAACATCATTGCTTTTATAAAATAGTATTCAAAACCTTTCTCCACGTGAAGGATTTGCTAATTAGTCACCTTTGAAATATTTTTTTAAACCTGTCCTTTGTGACACTTCTTGTTTCTTTTAAGGGTTTATTCGAGAAAATAATCAGCATTTAATTGACACTCAAAATGATAGTTTATTTTATTAAAAACAATGCAGACCCATGATGCCTGGCGTAAACAATAATACAAACATTAGAACAGTTATATAACCCTACTGTATAGTTGATCTATGTTTGTTATACCACTACATAACACTAATAAAGAGAACAAAAAATGTAAATAAAAACAGTTGAGTATACTAAATGTTTTTACTTAAAAACGTTCGTGCCATCTTTACTTCAGCACATCTAAAAACGTAATTTGTATGTTTTATATTGTTAGTTCTGTGACAGATGTTTATCTGCTCTGTAGCCAGTCAGCTATAAGCCCTTAATTGCAGTAGTTGCCTCAGGACCTATTGACATATGTTATATTGCATATGACCTCAGCATGCACATATCTGTTAACTAGGTTATGTGTTTGGGGCTGGAGTCTTATGAATGCATGTTTGATTAGAGGAGAAGAAAAATAAGCCTCTTTTGCCACTGAAGCTTTATATATAGGCCTACCTCTATGCAATGAAGGCTCATGTGGGTGTGCTGCAAATTTGTTTTGATACACGGGTGCTTTGTTTCTTACCAAAAAGCAGAGGTTTCATACTCAAAGTCCTCATTTCATGCACTTTGTTTTGCATCAGTGACACCTTTTGGACGTGTCCCACCTGAGAGATAGATCAGAGAAGTGATGTAGTGCTGCTACAGTGTTTAAGAGAGAAACACACTAGATGAAAGAGTGGGATTGATGCAAACATGTTCACATTACTCACCCTAATCCCCTCGATCCTTGTCAGAGAACTGACGCGCAGAAACTCGGGCTTTGATGGCGGACGTGGCGACTCTGGCTGCTGGTTGCTGCTCGGAGCATCACGACCCTGGCTGGTATCTTCCTGCCCGCTATTGTAGTGCACGTAAAACAGCAGTGCAATAACATTGATGATGTATACATGAAAAAACACCATCACTACTACGAAGTAGGAGCGGGAGCACACGCCGGTCTTGTTGCAAGTGGGGCGGTCGGAGTGCGGCCGGAGCGGCAAGGTCGCGCTCTCGGACGGTGTCGTGTCCTCAGCATCTGATGCTTCCTGGTTGTCGCTCATTTTCCCGAAATTCAAGGAGACGATACTTCCTCAGCAGCTAAATACATGCAACTACTCAAACGATGTAATGAGCATTTGGTTGTTTCTTAAAGGTAGCAGATGTGCAGACTGACAGTTTGATTACAAAAAGAAAGCCAGTTCCTCCGCTGCACTGAAAAAAAACACGGAGCATTCATGACAATACACGTTCTCGTTTAAGATGAAGAGTCCACTATCATTGGCTATGTGTCGTTGTGCTTTTGGTCCACAGACAGCAGCAGGCTCGGACAGTGTTGTTTACACTGCAGCAGTCCCAGTCAGCAGCGGGAGCAAAGCGCACTGCGCACCCAAAAACACAGCGGAGCGCATCTCACAAACCTGCTCCATAAACCTGATCCAGCATCAACAGAGTACGATGATTACCCTTTAAAATAAAAGAAACACGACCTGTGAACATAAAATACAAAACACCACGGCTGTGCAGCATATTCTACTATTTCCGACCGAGCTCCGTTGTTCACATCAACAGTCTGCCGACTGTGCAATACTGACCTCTGGTGAACTAAACAAATAATACACCACCTCTCTCTCTTACTCTCTCTCATACATTTTTAATCTCTAGAAACAAAATATTATATATTGTAACAATATAGATCCAATTTGTAAGGAAAGTGCTACCTGTAACCGTGTTAGTTCATACAGTTACACATTTAGCAATAATTATTAATTTCTTCTTTTTATTATCTTTTATTGTGTTTTAACTTTTTTTTGTATTCTTTTTTTATTTTGCATTAACTACTGTGGTTTGCCCTAGGGCATATTAGAGAAAGGATTACAAAAACAAACTGTTGATCATATTTCCAAAATAGTGCAATAAGAAGCTACAGGGACGTTAATCTACGTCGGTAATATTAACTTTATTTAATACAACATTTACGGTACAAGATTTAATCATACAGCCCATGTAGTATAATATTTTACAAATGATGAATTACAGCAAACATGTGCAATATATCCATTATTACAGCTCCGTGGGCTGGCAGTAAGGCGATATGGGTCCGTTCTTATTGTACATCCATGGGTAAAGATAAACGCATGTAGTGCTGAACACGTAACATGAACGTGCCGGGCGGCGCGGTCCCGTGGGTTAGATGCGCGTTCATAATGCAGAGGGAAATAACTCTCAGAATAACGTTATTAGCACATTTTTACAACTTGAGGAACGAATGTTTTTAATAAGGGCTATACAAGTGTTCATACTGGGTAGTTTATTTAAAAAAAATTATCCAACGATTTACAGACCACTCTTTCCCCATGTAAGTCAATGGGAAAAAGTGTTTCCGGGCCTGGCAACCAAAAGGAAGTGTAGTACCGCCGTTTGGCCAGCACGAATATTTTCATCTGAGTCCGGCGCACTTCCTGGGGGCTTGGTCCAATCACGCGATTCAATGCACTGCCTCGTCTCTATTCTGACAGGTGACAGGTTGAAACAGTTTCGAATTTGAGCGCTTCAACACTTATAACCGCTATAAACAATGCGCAATGTGTGGGTTGTTGTCGTAGTTTGCGTTGTTGCTGTTGAGTTGTTGTTGGTATTGCATTTTAATTGGATCATTATAGAGCAAGCCAGGAAGAAAGATAGGTCGTTCTGGCTCGGGAAACACTTCGAAATGTGGAGAAGTTGTGAACAAAAAGACAATTAAGACTAATATAAAAACCATGTTACTAACTTAAGGTATAGATAGCCCAGCGGATAGAGCCGGCGGCCCGAAGCGACGATGTCCTCCGCGCAGCTGGTTCAAAGCCCGGAACAGATGAACTTTTAATCATTCCTTTTCAACTTTAATACTTTATTAACTGATAAAAGGCCCTCTCCACCCAAACAAAATTCCAGCACTCTCTAGTCTCTTCTCAATAACCCAATACACACAATTATCAATCTTTAATTGCAAATAGAACATGATATTCAGTCTTGTGTGTGTGTGCATCGAATATTTTTCAAGGAAAAGATACGTTAAACCCACTGCAGCCTTGCACTTCGCCAGGAGAGGTCGCTGTAACTGAAGCTTCGAGAAATTAACCTATTTCCGACACAATTGTCCAAGTGGTTAGATGCTTCATTCAAAGCTTCATTTTGCCATCACTACAGAATAGAATAAATGAACCATAATGATCTTTACAATAAAAAAGGTCAATAAACCAAAGTGCTTAAGGAACATGAGTGGGCGTGTGTGAAGCTGACCATTGAGCGGCCCGACCAAGCAAGGAGGCAGAGGCAGAGAGTTCAAATACAACCCGGTGTGGGCATTTATTCCTCTTTGTGGTACAGGATACACAGCCTCAATATGACTGTCTCTCTCTCACACTCTCTCACACTCTCTCTCACACTCTCTCTCACACTCTCTCACACACACTCACACACACACACACACACACACACACACACACACACACACACACACACACACACACACACACACACACACACACACACACACACACACACACACACACACACACACACACACACACACACACACACACACACACACACACACACACACACACACACACACACACACACACACACACACACACACACACACACACACACACACACACACACACACACACACACACACACACACACACACACACACACACACACACACACACACACACACACACACACACACACACACACACACACACACACACACACACACACACACACACACACACACACACACACACAGGAAAACAGAACCTAAATACACACGGGACTAATCAAACCAACAAGACACAGGTGAGGAGGGAGGAGAAACACAGGGCACCAGGTGAACGCAATCACCAGCAGCAACAGACAAGACGGGAGGGGGAACACTTTTCAAACTAAAACAGGAAACAGAGACAGACAAACTAAAACATAGACAGATTGTGACAAATATATGTCCAACATCCAACTCACAGATGTAACCTTGCTTTGATAAAATAAATTATTCATATAACCCTTTTAGAAGTGAAGTTGTAGTCATTTGTTTTGGGCATGTCATTTTCGAACCTGAAACCTGAAAAACAGGCTCGGGGCTTAACAGGTTAACTGAGACTGCACTTTGTTTTTTTAAGGCTCTTAACACACAGGAAACAAGATCAGAGACCCAGGTGAGATAATGTGAGTAATCCAATAAGGAAAATGACACCCAGTTCCTCCATATGCAGACAGACACTGATGGTTAAAATTGTAATGTTAATGGCCAATAAATAATATAAATTAAAAAATAATGTGCAATCAAGGAAAGACAGTAACCATGCAGTAGCTTTTCTTCCCATTTTATTCTTAAAGAGTAGACAGAAAAGCTACTAAATTAGGGATAGAGATTTTCACCTGGGGCCTCATTTATAACGCCGTGCGTAGGATTGACGTAGGAAGGTTGCTTACGTAGTACAAAGCACAAAAATAGGTACATACATTTTCCGCCATTTTCCAATTCACAAAACATTGCGTACCGGCGAGGGAAGTGCGTACGGCACTCCCTACGCCTGTTTCCCTTGATAAATCACAATCGACTCGTAACGCCCATATTTGCCTATACATAGTCAAAGAAACGCCCATTCATTCATTCATTTTGACTGACTGCATGAAGAAGATCGCAGGAAATTACGATAGAACAGCTAAAAAAGACATCTCACACCGTGTCAGATTTTGGTTATTGTGGGGAGGTCGAGATATATCATATTGTTTGGTGGATGCAGTTTGAACCATGTAGCAGCATGGAGGTCGGATCGTCACCAAAATAAATAAATAAGTGGTCCGAAAAAAGTTAATGACAAAAAAAATACACATAACCCTCCTCAGGCAGAGTGTTTGTCCCGGGGACAGGAGACACCCCCTTGATGAGAAACTAAGAAATGATCGGGGAATCCCTCCGGAGTGGAGTCATGACGACTGGATCTGAATTATTTTTGTTGTATTTGGTGGTTTGTGTTCCAGCTGTCGATCAGCAACTATATATCCATAATCCACCACTTAAAGGAAATACAACTAATGGATTGTGTTATATTAGCTGTACAATTTACCACATATGGTGTTCTTAGTTTCCATACCTCCTGTGTTTTACGAGCGACTTATCAAGTCTTGGCAAACGGCATTAAAACACGATTAAACGTGATAGTATATAAAACCATGCTCGTATCTACAACCTATAGAAATGCAAAACGGCGTCAGTTTAGACGTAATTCTGTCCTCCTGCTTACCGCATCATTTATGAGAAAACATTTCATAACATTAACACAACATATTCGAGGTGGTTTTAAATAACATATCCGTATTTATTTATTTCTCCAAGTTATGTTTTTGTGTGCACTGAGGAGTCTCAAACAGGCGTTTGTTTAATCATTTAAAGATTGGCTTTAATCAATGTTTGAAAATGAATTCTTCATATTTGATAAATGAGAGGTAACATTTTATTTATGGTATTATTTCCACATATTTCTCTCCATTCTTCCTTCTGCCAACGGTGTCGCAGTTTCTCGTCTCTCCCGTTTGTGTGCTTAGTGCGTACGCATGGGTTAGAGTTTGCGTGGAGGACAGCACATTTTCCCGTCAAGTTAGTATTTTATAAATCGCAAACATTGCGTAGAAACTGGCGTACGCCATTTTTTGAGCGTATATCCCTTTATAAATGAGGCCCCTGGTCTCAGCACACATACAGTAGGTCACAAGTCATGTCCAATTAGTTATATTTTCATCAGTGTTCTCAAAAGAGAGGCTACTGTTCTACAAATTATAAATATATGGGCCATTGTACCGAAATTGGACCAAAGTCAGGTTGGAAATGTTTTTAAATGTTGTATGTTTTTTTCCCAAAACTTTGTCCATATATATTTTGTACCATATCTAAATTACACATATCTAGTAAAAGAACCGTACATTTTTATATATCGTATTTTCAGACTGTATTGGAATGTTCTTCCTCTACCAAAAATGGTCACTACCGAAACATAGTAGGCTACATACACTG